GTCGTTTGGGTTTCCCACATGTTCGTTTGCTGTTTGCCCAGTTACCACCTGTCTAGAGCCCTCATCAATTAGTTGAGGACGGGGTGAACACCCTGTGCCAAGCATGGAACTTGCCCAATGTATATATACTCTGCAACTGCTTATATAGGAGGAAACGGGTTTATGATTGGTGATGAAAGGAGTTTTATACCCAACTCTTTAGGCTATCCTCAAAATCACCGAACTCACCCGCGCCTCCTTTTGAGGTTTTTCACCCTGAGAACTGAGAGGAGACCAAGACCAAGCAAGCAGTGGCTAATGAATTATAGCTACCCCTACGGCCCTTCCTCCACATTAAAAAAACGAAACAACATATATATTTATTGATTTATATGATATATAATGTATATAAGCATACTGTACAAATATATGTGTATTATTCCCTAGGGCTCCAAGCACCTTCTGAGAAGGTGTTTGGGGTGGGTGCCAGGAGGGTCCAGTCATACCGTCATACCTTTCTGAGGAAAAAGTTTTGAGTCCTAATGATTGTAGTTATAATGTATGTAAGGCCCCCTCTGGGGGGCTTTGTGCCATCCGCCCTTCTTCTCGGCCGCTGAGGTTCGGGGCGCGGCATTTGTCGCGATGATCGCTTTGCCAGGCACCAGCTGAACATCTCGAACTCAACGCGGCTATTGGCCAGAGGAGATGGTTCTTGTCTTTGCAGCTTTGAGCGGCATGTTTCGGTGATGTTCAGTGTGGAATGCGAGGACACATCCACTGAGTTAGAAACTACTGGCAAGAATATCAGAACATATCTCGTCACATCATTGTCTAATTGAATCCCAAAGGTTTGAACAAATGAAAAGATCTTTTGGATCCTGGCATATCCCAGCCCTTGGATTTGTTTTCTTATGATTGTGTTGATGTTAATCTGTGGTTTCTCAGGGCAGATTTGCTGAGGTAACGAGGAGACCTTCGGCGGTATGGACGTCACAGGCAAGGTGAACTGCGCCTCTGGGCGGTGCCCCGATGGCTTCGAGGAAGTTCGGACAGCTGAAGTAGCTTCAGCTCACTGCCAAGCATGTGCAGCAGGCAGTTGGAATTTGCAGCAGCTTGTGGAACAGACAATTTGTGTTTTGCAACATGAAGTGTTTACAACCTTGGCCCCCATTTTCCTGGTAAGTCGCTCGAGTCACCAGGCTCTTCGTCAGTGGATGGGGCTCCATGTTCTCCATGTCTGCCCGGAAGCGCAGCTGGAATTGGTCGTGCCACATGTGAAAGCTGTGCGGCTGGCCACTTTTCAGCGACGGTGGGAAACAGCGAATGCCTTGTTTGTCATGCAGGAAGCTATGCAGCAGCTGGCAGCAATATGTGTGGCCAGTGTCCACCCGGCACCTATTCTACCATCGGTGCCAGCAACTGCACTTGGTGTCCAAATGGTTGGGTGGCAGAAGGTGCAAGTCCTACATGTGAGCCCTGCTTGGCTGGCACTTATGCCCATGAAGGGCGATTTTGCCGCAACTGTCCCAGCAATACAATCTCAACTTCAGGTCGTTCTGAATGCGAGCCATGTGTTGGTTTCTTCCTCGTGGCCTATGCAGACACCCAGAGATTGACTTGTCAAGCAAGCATGTTGAACCTCTTTTTTCGCCGTCGCCACGTGTTTATGCCTCACCGTGACGTTGCTTCTTGCATTATGGCTGTGCTTTTACCAGCTCCACATTGAAGATCTCAGCTTGCAGGCTTTGGCAAAACTAAGTGGTTCTTGCTGAGTAATATTCATGGCATTTGGGTCATCCATGGGGACGATTCGCTTTCAAGGTGGAGAAATGTGTGAAGTTGGGATATTGCGGTTGATTCATATGCTGTTTCACTAGTCAATGATGCTTGCACTTCCAACAAACCAGTTGTCTTTGTTGGGCGCGCGTGTGTCTTCAATCCATCCAGGGAGATGGTCTGGTGGTGACCACGAGCCGTCCACATCGGATCTTACATTGGAGCAGTGAGGCTTCGATCACGCTGAGAAACACGGGCAGCCCGCCCCTCGAGTGTCTTCAAACGCGAGGTTCCTTTCGAGCTCAAGCGCTCTCGGGACGAGACCTGAAGTTGATCCATCCGGTGGCTTGGTGTCATGTCGGGACAGGGCATTGGCTGTGTCCAGTAGCTAGAAGAAGAGGTCGGTGGTCAAAGACCAAGAGACTTTTTTCCAGAGATTGATGGATAGTATATTACTTTGACGTCAACGAAATCCGAGGAGAGTGTGGGCACATGGGACACCAGCATTGGATACTTGCACGTTCATATTCCTGCAGCTTTACTTCGCACAGGGTTCTTACGAATTCCCTCGGTCCTTTGGCTGATTCTGCTCCTGGCTGCGGTGGTTCTCCTGGCACGTCAGCTGCTTTTGCACATGCTGCTTGTCGTGATTGCGGTGGCGGTTCTGAGCAGTTTGGCTTTGTACCTCCTTTTCTATTGGATGGGCAGCAGGAGACACATGCATGATGATCCATGATACTGATATATATATACACTTTGATACCATGCCATACAATGTAGAACCTCAAAAGTCAAAGATTTACAGTAGATGTTTTCTTTTGGCTTTTGCATGTTGTGGCATTTCACAACTGATTTTCATGGACTTGGTGTTTTGCCTGCCTCAAAGTGGAGACAAGTGTCATTATTTTGTTTCTAATGTTCAGACAAGCTATCCCTACCCTTCACCAAGAAGGAAGGAACGAGAAAGGCAGACTTTCCCTTTCCCTTTCCACAAAGTGCATCAAACACCATGGGGAACACGTCGTTCGGTTGCTTCCTGAATCTATGAAACCGAGTATACTCATACGATGGACGTTTTCGGGCCCCCCCTTTTTCAGAACGGCAACTCCGTCGGTGTGGCGCCCCCTTTGTCACAGCGGTTCCGGTCGACCCGGAAGGACTCCCGGAAGGACGAAAGGGCACCGTCCCGTCCTTTCCATCAAAAGCAAAGTCACACGTCGTCCCCAGGTTCCGCTTCAGCGGGATTTGCGGTTCCCGGGACGGAAAAACCGGGTTCACTTCCGCGTCGTCTCACGCCGCGAAGGAAGGAAAAACCGGTCGTTTTGCCTCGGCCTCCGAGCTTCTGTGCCGTGCTTTCAGGACTCCTTTGGTCTCAAGGCGGCGTCGCTTTCGAGAGGAACTGGTGAAGTTGCGCGGCACGGTGCTTTCGCGTTGCCCCAGTGGACCAGAAAGAGCGGTGACCATTGGATGCTTGATGCTGAAGTCGAAACATGCGGGTGTGATTTGTAAAACGGATAAACCGGCTGGGTTAGGAGTGTTTGGACAGACTGCTTGGAATTCACTGAGGAGATGCTGTAAATGTTTGAGTTCAATAAGATATTAGTTAGTTGTTCCAATTTGTTATGTGTCAGATGTCACATTCTGATCTGCAAGGACAACTTGGATGGCTGTGTGAGTTCTTTCTGTCCTTCATCAAAGATCGCTCTATGTATTATATTTGCTCCAACCTGGTCACGCCACTCACGGAGGATTGCAAGCTCTCCTATGCAGAGCTTGTTGGTCCCAAGCGGGTGCATTGGTTTGTGAGCCACTACTGGGGTATCTTAGCGAAGGAGTGCGGTTTGATCTCGTCACCTCACTAAATACCCGGCCAGTGGAAGCGCATTTATTTGTTTGGCAAAGTGGAATTGAATGACCAGAAATCAGCGATACAAGGGATCCAAGGCAAGCATGAAGACTTCAACATGAGCCCTGTTACTTGCAACCACGTCACGTGACCTCCCTCTTTCGAGACGAGGTACTCCTTTCCAGGAGTTCGTTGCTGCTGTCCGTCATCACGCCAAGTCCGATGGAGCAGTAGAGTGGCAGAGTACAGCCTATTGGGTTTGCACCTTCAGCAACAATCAATGGCAGGTGCCACGCCTTCCCAGGGCGCGACGGGGGACCCACGGGACCAGGACGACGAACGAGAGAGCGGCGCCCGATGTTTTGGGTCCCTGATTCGGTAGACATAGATAGACATGCCATGTTAAGTATATATACTGTTTTTGAGCAAAAGACTAGTTCACAATGACGTCACTGTAGTTCGCTTTAGTGCTGCAGTGTTTCATCAAACATGACTGATCTTTTGTCGAAGAGTGCTCAGGTGGAGGCGGAACTTGGCCATGGCCTTTGGCAGGAATCGTCCTTTTACAAGTCGCTTCGCAGTGACACTTGCCAGGGCACTGCCACTTGGCAGAATTTGTGGAGACCGTGGCACCTAAAACAAAAGCAGGACATGATGCAAACACTTGGAAACATTGGGCAAACAACTGATCAGTTGGTTGTAAAGTTTGGTGACATGGGTGAAGATAGGATTGAGAAGGACCAATGTGTCACATGCATGTGTCGCATTGAAGAGTTTTTTGGTAGTTTGGCACTGTACACTCTCACATAACACCAAAGTTCGGTCGTGTTTGGGAAACCCCCGTTTCGGATGGCACTCGCTTGGTTCTTTTTTGCGAGATCGAATTTCAGAAGGCTCGTTTGCGAGGATGTGTTTTTTATCTCGCACTTTAAATGTGAGGTGTTTTTCTTCCTTATTCTTTCCCTGTAATCATTGAACATCTCTACGCTAGAAAACTGACAATAATTGTCCATCCTGCCCGGGTTGTTCTTTTACCAAGACAACCACACGATTCCCGCAAGCTTTCATTGCTGCACTCATGGCAGGCTTGCCATCGTAACTCACCTTGTGCACCTTTGCAGCGAGACTCTACTGTGCTCCTCCCGACGCTTTCCACTGTCAGCAATTGCTGCCCCCTCACAGCACGTACCCCTAATAGCCGAGGACGCTCTTTGATCTTACAAACGGTACTGGTTTTTGCGTTCCCCACAGGGGACTCACACCACACAGCACCAGCCAGAAACAGACTATTGATGAGGTGGCACCCTCAGCTGCGGCCACTCTTGTAACTCACTCGGACTTTTTGATCAACAAATATACTAAGCTAATCTAAGCTATACGAGTGCCACAGCCTCAGGTGATGGTATTGGATGAGCAAGCGCAGCCGCTGCGGAGGGCCTGGTGTTTGTTTGAAATTCTTCAAACTCAGCTACGCTCCGCTGATCGTGGAAGTTCTTTTCAAGGACTTCTCCTTTGCACCTCCAGCTGCTTGGCACACAGCAAGCAGTGAACATGAACGTTAACGTTTACTTGCAGCGTTTTTGTTCGAGCCATCGGGCAATTTCTTGCTGTGTTGCTGATTGCAGTTTCCCAGGTGTTGATTGGCAGAGAAACAACATTGTTTGTAGCAACTACCGTGCTTGCATTTGCTAGTTCTTTGGGTTTCCATTGAACACTCAGTCACCCCGCACCCCTAACTCGTCTTTGAACCTCTATTGCCCCTCCCCCGTCGGGAAACTGAAGTCTTGGTAGTTTGCGAGTTTTTGTTGCCACGAAAAACACACCCTTTCCATTGGCATCCAGCCCTGTATGCCAGACACATGTATATCGGAGTGGTTGAAAAGGGATGACTGTAAAAGCTGCTCGTTCCATGCGTTCCTTCCATTCGGTCCGGACCCATCCACGACGAGGGGCATGGCGTCGTTCAGCGTTCGCGAGGTGGAGTCCTACGAAATGGTCAGGGTGGCATCGAGATTGCCATGAAGGTGGCCAATTGTTTCTGTGACCAATTAGGAGGCAGAACCTATTGGTGCACCAAGAGTCCAAGAGGGTCGAGAGTCCGCTGAAGCACCTATTGGAGGGTGGTTTGGGACAACTTCTGTATCTCCCCCTGGCACCCTTCTGGATCGACGCGGCGTGGCTCCGTTCTTTCGTTCGACACATCGAAGATCCATCCGCTTTGGAACGCGGGTCTCGCCGTGTTCCACTCGATCTCCGGTCGCAACGGACGGACCGGAGTGCGTCGTCACCGGTTGGGGTGGGCGTTGGACGGAATCGGTGCTCGGGCCTTCTGTGCATCGCGCCGTTGGTGGTTGGCACCCCGAAAGGTGAAACAGCTGCTATGGCCCTGAACTCATATGATTTATAGAGCTTTTTGGTCGGTTCAATCCACCTTTTTGCGCCCCCAGGAAAAAGAAGAAAGAAGCCAAATGACCTTTGACTATAGACCGAACAGAAGAACTCAAACACTGACAGGCTGGTTTTCAGCACATTCAACTGGCTGTGGGTGAAAACCGTGACACCCTGGTTGACCACCAAAAATGAACAGATTCCTTGTTTGTTCGGGATGTCAACCAAGCTCTCATGGTTTGGTGGGGAGAGCCATGACATGCCATGACCCACGGGACCCACTCAGGCTTAGCCAGCCTTGATTTGAAAGACGCGAAGGCCAGCGATGCGAAGGATGAGGCAATGATCCGCAGTTTGGTGGAACACATGCCTGGCGGTTTTCATGCCACGAACTCCTTTGTGAGAAGATCCATTCGAGAGCCTCAAAGCATAAGGTCGAGGTGTTTTTGCCTGATCATTTGGTGCGACAAACGGTGTTCGGAGTGTTTTTGCACCTCTGAAGATGCTGATTCCTTTTGATCAAACTCCATCCTTTCAGGCCGTGTGACACACCACCGTGGTGAAGTGAGGTTGACTTCCCTTTTGGGGCGAGCGACCAAGGATTGCTTGCTGGTCACCCACAAGAACTTCGAAGTGGACTTTGGCCGTTTGCTCACGATCCTTTGGCCAACTGCCAGGTTTTTGTTGTGGTTCTTGCTGCTCAGCATGTAGATGGTAGAATATGAACAAAATAGCCTCTAATACCGGACTCTAGTGTATTTGATGGGTAGGAAAGATGGACTTGTCCCGCAGAACTTTCCTGCTTCAGATTGCTTCATGGAATTTGGTTCGAACCTGTTGAGCCAACACATGCCGCACCAATAGGATGGGTCACACGTGGAGAGGGAGAGTGATACGCGTCGGATGAAGAAACATTTGCCAACCAGGAACTGGTTGCTTCCCTGTAGTGAACTGTTGAATCATCATCAAAATGTTTTTTGCAAACATTTGGTACACCAGACAAGGCTGCCCTATGTCCAAGGATCCTGAATAGTAGCCTCCTTGCAGAGGATGATGCCCAAGGGCATTTGCCAACTTTGCTGCCAAAACCAATAGCACATGCAGCTCCTGAAGGCAAGAAGGATCATAGCTCGGGAAGTACAAATTGAATACCTTCTGAGGATGTATAGTTACAGTTGTAGGACACAGCCTATGTACAGCTTTCAAGCTAATTCATCAGTTTTGTTGACGAAAGCAACTGCTCTTCGAAACAGCTTGGCATAAGGCCAAGCGACAATTGTGTATATGTCCAGACTTGCACGAATTGGCAACGAGTCCGACTCGCGCCGTGGTGGACGATTCTTGCAATGGAGGTTTTCCGATTTGAACAAACCTAGGAGCTTCGTAGAAGCTGCCTCCGAGATCTTAGGGCGCCCGCTATTTCCAGGTGGAAAACCATGAATGAGCAGATATTATATAGCTGTTTCTCAAAACTGACCCAAGATGCAAACACACATACAGTACCTAAATATTCCTAAATATATGTTTTGAGATGTTTTGAGTGTTTTTTCTACTGCATGAAAACACACATATCGCCTCAGCCACAAATGCGCTACATTGTTACACGTGCTTTGTTTGAAGGTCTTGCTTTGGTAATGCCTCCGTGCAACGCTAGGATTCAGACTGCTCATCACCAAGTGACCTGTTGAAGGATCCACTGGTACAATACAGCATGTGTTCCATTCCTGGAACTCGTTACTCTCGTTGTCCCCCTATCCCCGCCACGGGCGCCACCGCGCTGCTCGTGCAGCGCACTGCGGAGTGAACCGCACAACCACACGCCGTGCTCGCGCGTCGGCGCTGCTTGTTGCGGAGGTCACGACTTGGTCCTGCAGCTCAGAGAACGCCAATGCGAGCTCAAGGGAAAACATGTGGGAAAGATGGGAAAGACTCGCAACGGCGTGCAACTGCGTGTGGCATGGTTTGTTTATTTGTGGCGGGGCTGCGCAGCGTGGGTTTTCATATCAAGTGCGCCCTTTTCAACAGAGTGTGTGTGTGTGCGTTGTCATTTTTGGAAGCGATGAACACTTTTTTTCAGCCTAGGCACATAATTTTTTCGGGGACCGGGCCAAGCTTTGAGTTGGGACCCATGGTTTTGCTATTAAGGCATGAAGCTTAAGAATGGTCACGACATCTAATTCCCCAAAGGCTGGAGCCGAACAATCTAGGTGTCCAACGGAAGTCACACGTGGTTCTGGGGTAGTCCATGGGTGACCCCTTCAGGCGAGTCTGGTAGTTGCAGAGCCGGCAGGCGTGCGTTGTTTGGCTGCTGGCTCCAGCTGAGAAAAGCGCCAAGATTATGTGAAGTCTTGGAAGGTCAGTAGAACCTTCCAAGCAAACGAGCACCACAAACACCACGTTAGCCAGAGAAGATACAGACCGGATGACCTTCCAATTCTGTTGGTGCTATTTATGGACCGTTGAAATATGTTGAAATCGACCCCCTGTGACGTTCAATCTTGTTTCACACGACTTGCATTGCAGCTGCTTGAATTGTTTTTGTTTGCGTTTGCAGTGCCCCACATGTTGCGTACCAGTTGCCAGGCCCTCTTGATGAACTTTGGCAGCCTTGTTTGACGAACTTTGAATGATGTTGATTTGGGAGTTCCCAAAAAAGGTTCAACTCCCTGATTTTTGGGGAGTTTATTTTTGGCCATTGGCGGTGCTAACACACACACACACACAAACTGCATCAAATCACATCACTCTTTCAGAGTGCCCAACGGCGAACAAATTGCCTACGAAGAAACCCACCGGTCTCCACTGCGCTGTCCATCGGTCTCCACCGGTGTTTTCATCCGCATTCCATCCACCCAGGTTGGTGATCAGAACACTTGTTCCTTTGTGGCAATTGTTTTCACCACTTCTTCCAGTCGGTACCAAGGCTTCCATCAAAACATGCGGTTTCACTGCCGTGATGAGCCCTGTGTAGGGCACGAACACGTGGCCAGCCGCGGCCATGCTGTGCTTTTCATGCGCTTCTTGCGGCTATGATCGAAGAAGAGGCCTGGTGATACAGGGCAGCGGGGAAAAACAACGTCTGGACGTGGGAAGTCACTTCTGTTGCAAAGGGAAGACAGACAATGGACACATGCAGACAACTCACAGTTATACAGTAGTCTTGCATGTTTGTTGAACATTAGTTGCATTGCTACGGGATGGGAGAGACATCAAAGTTCGCTCCATAAGTTCTAATCAGGTTCAAGTCTGGAATGTATTTTGTTGGACCTGCTCTTTGGACATGTTTTGTTTTTTCATATTGTTTCATTGGAAACACACCATCAAGCACACGTACCAGAAACACCTCATCCATCCAGCACCACCCAGCTCCATGTCCATGGTGCGGATGTGCAGTCGGCGCATTGCAGATTGAGTCCAATCAAAGTCCTAGCCTGATCAATGGACAATTATATACAAGATTATATACAAGTATCAATGGACAATTCCAAACTTTGTGTTGTAATTCCAATCAAAGGACCATGAATATCTAGCGACGACGAAAAACACGGGTGGGATCAGGTTGCAACACCGATGAGATCCGGATTGAAACACGGTTTAACTACACCATGATGTGAGTGTTTATATACTGTTTAGCCGCTTTGAATGAAAGAATCTTTCAGTGATCAGAGCTGTTTCTTTGATCTCTGGGGCCAGTCGTGCACCATCCGCGGCGGCAGGAGTTGTCCCAGGTGAGCGAAGCCAAGCCCTTGAGGCGGACGTCCACGTCCAGGGCGCGAAAGGAGGTCGACCCGGCCGACCCGGTCCACATGAAGACATCACAACAGGTGTAACATGGAAGTGGATGGCCCAGACAGTTGTTCAAACATGGTGAAATTGTCCATGAGAACATCCACTGAAGAGTGAGTTGAAGGGTGATTTTTGAGGATTGCCCACATATAATATATTTTTACACACATTAGCTTCAACCCATTCAATCGTTTTTTGGAGATCTGAGTGAAGAACCAGTGTTTTGGAGATCGGAACAAGAACATGTGGGAGATGGGGACCATTATTGGGTGGTGGCCACATTGACACGATGTTTAGGATGGATGACCAGGTAATGCCAGGTATGTCAAACTACCATGGCTGACTGGGCTGCTTGGTAACGACCCACACCTCAGGAGATGGTTTGAATGCCAGTTTGGAGAAACATCTAAGTGTGTTTGACAGGACTTTGAGCATATCTAAGATATCTTCCAACAGGACCTCTTTTTTGCACGTAGGCTTGGAGCATGCAGGGTCCAGTCATTTCTCCCAAAAACCATGGGCCACTGTCACCTTTCACCGTGACCGCCGGGTTTGTTCCGAGCCGAGCGCCCAAAACCAGGCCTTCAAAGCCCCGAGCGAGCTATGGAGGTACCAAAGATGAGGAGACGGCGACGAGCGACGAAGTGATGGCGCCCGGGGTAGATGGGAGATGGCGCTCGGCCAGAAGTGATTTGTTGTTGGCATATAGGCTTTGGTGTGTGTGTTAAAGAGGGTGTGTTTGCTGGCAGTGTTTTTGCGGTTGTTTGTGTTGAAAGCGTGAGGAGAATACATCATGACACCTGTTTGTTGCGATTGAAGATGTGTTTAGCTTTTACTTTATATAATGTTAGTGTTGTTTTAACACTTGGCCTTAGTTGCGCATGAGGATGAGGTGGGTATCTATATAATCTAATTTTACACAATCTGAAGGCAATAGATTCGGCAAAACAGGTTTGGGGCTGTTCATTCATTCGAATTTCCAGAATTCATCCCAGATGGAACTTAAACAATGCCCCTCTGTTGCTCACTGAGCATCTTCTAGTGCTTTTCTGTCGCTAGCCAGTGCCACCCCTGTGAGGAGGGTTCATGATTCTGCTGGTGTTTTTGCTTTGCCACCATCCAGAGAGAACTGTTGGATGTGTGTGTAGCCAAACCAGGAGGTAGACTTCTATCCACTCAATAGCCTCAGAATCAGCTCAGCCTAGAAGTTCGACTTGCCTGAGAATCCCAGACTCTTCTTGTTCCATGGATTTCGGTCTACCGACGACGCGAAAAGAAAAAGAACAAAAACTACCTTGGACCTGCCGCGAGGAGGATTGGATGGCCACTGGCTTCACGGTTCAGGAGATTAGCCCCCAGGTACGGCCGGCGCTGCTGTTGGTCGTTTTGGGAGACGTAGAATACGACCCACTGGGATGATAGTGGTTAGTATTGGGACCTGATTTTCTCACCAAGGAAAGCACTGTCTGATCCAGACAGAAACTTGTCATGGAAGGAGTCTAAGTCCAGGCTCAAATGGACCACCAGCGTACGCAGGACCGCTGGACCACTGGACCCGGATGCTATAGTAAGATCATGGATGCTTGGATGCGCTCGATGCTCCGAATCCAATTGAGGGCAAACCAGGTATTTTGACCCGAAAACAACTCCACCGAAGTGTTTTCCATTTTCGCCTGGACCAGCGTCCGACACCATGCGAACCCTCCCAACGGACTGCTGTTTGCTGTTTTTTCTCGGTCGAGGTGATGAGACTGTGGCTCTTCCTCCAGGTCTTAGGCGCGGTCAGCTATGCGGAGAGAGGAAGTGGAGTGGCGTCAGTCAAGGCCCAGATTCTTCCGTTGCAGCAGATCTTAGATCTTCGTGTTTTTTGGGAAACAAAATATTTTGCTTTAGACTGAAGAACGTGAGATCCGGGATCCCTGTCA